CACAGCAACAACAGTATTGGCAATGGCAGTCAAGCAGGACCATGGCAGGAGGCTCCACCAGGATCCATGAGAACCTGCGAGACGAGAAAGCACAAGAACTCCGGGGAAGAAGTGGAGTTAGTAACATGCATTAAAGGGACATGAATGAGTGCAGAAAGAGAGAGGAAGAGAGTAGCTCAGTGCACCATGGGAAATCCCCCGATAGTCTAGGCCTATAGCAGCATAACTAAGGGATGGTTCAGGACTCACCTGATCCAGCCCTAACTATAAGCTTTATCAAAGAGGAATGTCTTAAGCCTACTCTTGAATGTGGTGAGGGTGTCTGCCTCCCGAACCACAACTGGAAGCTGGTTCCACAGGAGAGGAGCTTGGTAACTGAAGGCTCTGGCTCCTGTTCTACTTTTAGAGACTATAGGAACCACAAGTAGCCCAGCATTCAGAGAACGTAGTGTTCTAGTGGGGTAATAGGGTACTATGAGCTCTTTAAGATATGAAGGGGCCTGACCATGAAGAGCTTTATAGGTGAGGAGGAGGATTTTAAATTCAATTCTACATTTTATAGGGAGCCAATGCAGAGTAGCTAGTACAGGAGAGATGTGATCTCTTTTTCTAGTTCCTGTCAGTACTCGTGCTGCAGTGTTTTGAATTTATTGGAGCGTTTTAATGGACTTATTGGGGCAACCTGATAATAAAGAGTTGCAGTAATTCAGCCTAGAAGTAACAAATGCATGGATTCATTTTTCTGCGTCCGTCTGTGATAGGATGTGTCTAATTTTTATAATATTACATAAATGAAAGAAGTCAGTCCTAGAGGTTTGCTTTATGTGGGAATTAAATGACAAATCCTGATCAAAGATAACTCCAAGATTCCTGACAGTGGTGCTAGAGGCCAAGGTAATGCCATCTAGAGTAACTATATCTTTAGACAGTGAGTCTCTAAGGTTTTTGGGGCCAAGTACAAGAATATCGTTTAACATCAGAAAATTGCAGGTCATCCAGGATTTTATGTCCTTAAGACATGTTTGTAATTTAGATAATTGATTCATTTCATCGGGCTTGATCATAGATATAACTGCGTATCATCTGCATAACAGTGAAAGTTAACGGAGTGATTCCTAATACTGTTGCCTAAAGGGAGCATATATAAAGTAAATAGTATTGGTCCAAGTACAGAACCTTGTGGAACTCCATGACTAACTGTACTATTTATTGAAGATTCGTTAACATGTACAAACTGAGAACGATCTAATAAGTATGACTTCAACCAGCTTATTGCGGTTCCTTTAATGCCAATTTGATGCTCAAGTCTCTGTAAAAGAATATCATGGTCAATGGTGTCAAATGCAGCACTAAGATCTAATAATACAAGTACAGAGACAAGTCCATTGTCAGAAGCAATCAAAAGGTAATTATTAACTTTAACCAGAGCTGTCTCTGTGCTGTGAATAACTCTAAATCCTGAGTGAAAATCCTCAAATAAACCATTGTTATGTAGAAAGTCACACAACTCTTTGGCGACTACTTTCTCCAGAATCTTAGAGAGGAAGGGGAGGTTAGAAATCGGTCTATAGTTGGCTTAAACCCCTGGGACGAGAGTGGGCTTTAGCTACTTTAAAGGACTGTGGTACATATCCTGATAATAAAGAAAGATTAATCATATCCAGGAAAGAAGTGCCATTTAAGGGTACAACTTCTTTAAGCAGCCTAGTTGGGATTTGGTCCAACAGACAGGTTGATGGCTTCGATGTAGAAATTATTGAAATTAACTGATGAAGATCGATAGCAGAAAAACAGTCTAAATATATATCTGAGTTTACATTAGTTAAAGTTCCTGAACTTGGAGAGCTACTGATAACTGTTGATGGCAGTTGGTGATTAATTTTCTCTCTAATAGTAATAATTTTATTATAAAAGAAGCTCATAAAGTCATTGCTACTTAAGTTTATGGGGATATTTGGCTCAATAGAGCTGTGACTCTCTGTCAGCCTGGCTACAGTGCTGAAGAGGAACCTAGGGTTATTCTTATTTTCTTCTATTAGTGCTGAGTAATAGGCTCCTCTGGCATTACGGAGGGCCTTTCTATAAGTTTTAAGATTATCTTGCCAAATTGAGCGATATTCTGATAATTTGGAAGAGCGCCATTTCCTTTCAGATTTCCTAGCTATTTGCTTTAACTGGCGGGTTTGGTGGTTATACCAAGGTGCTAGTCTCCTATGTTTTAATAATTTCCTTTTTATAGGAGCGATAGAGTCTAATGTTGATCGTAGTGAGCCTGTAGCACTATCAAAAAGATTATCAATTTCGGAGGGACTAAAGCTATTATAGGACTCTGTTATATTCAGACATGGGATTGAATTTAACACTGATGGAATCTCCTCCTTAAATTTAGCTACAGCACTGTCAGATAGACATCTGCTGTAGGAAGTTTTGCCTAATGGCTTATAATCTAATAGTATGAATTCAAAAGTTATTAAATAATGGTCAGATAGGAAAGGATTATGTGGGAAGACTATTAAATGTTCAATATCAAGGACTAAACTTGATAAAAACTCTGAGAATTCAGATATAAAATCAGAGTACGGTCCAGGAGCACGGTACACTATAACAAATAGAACTGGCTGCAGTGTTTTCCAGGATGGGTGAGAAAGACTAAGAACAAGGCTTTCAAATGAATTATAATTTAGTTTAGGTTTAGAGTCCATTAAAACGCTTGAATCTAAATATATTTTACTCATTACAGCGGTTATTTTCCAGCTTAACATTTTAACGTAGACTAGTTCTACCTAAGCACTCAGATTTACTTCCTTCTTTTAGCAACTTTTCGCTATTTTCAAAAGTTTTCACACGCTAGCTTCATTAGCTATGGCTTCTCCCTCTCCCTCTGCTCTGTCCTGCTCAGTGTGCTAGGGAACGCCAACGAGGTCAAAAACACGTGAATTCTAACACGTTAACAACATGTAGACAACATGTAGACAAAACGTTAACAACAGGTAGACAACACGTATATATATATATATATATATATATATATATAAAATAATTTATAATTTAATAATGCAACCCAAATGTTTTATTTCTATAAGCTACACAATAAAGGAAGAAAATGGCAAAGAAATAAGAGAATCCTTAACATGTTAAATAGTGGGTGGAAACAACCCCAGGCTTACAGAAATGGTTTAACCCAACAGTTCAGGAGCCAATGGGAACTTATGACTCTCACCCGTTCAAACTGGACAAGTGGCCAAAGGGCTCATAATCACGTGAAATGAATGCGTCGTTAACGCATCATTAACGCGTAGGCAACACGTTAACAACACGTAGACAACATGTAGACAACACGTTAATGACGCGTGAACAATTAACATGTTGTTAACGTGTTGTCTACATGTATAGAATTCACGTGTTTTTGACCTCGTTGGCATTCCCTAGCACACTTAGCAAGACAGAGGAGAGGGAGAGGGAGAAGCCATAGCAAACTGCTAATGTTAATGAAGCTAGTGTGTGAAAACTTTTGAAAATAGTGAAAAGTTGCTAAAAGAAGGAAGTAAATCCGAGTGCTTAGGTAGAACTAAATGTTAAGCTGGAAAATAACCGCTGTAATGAGTAAAAGATATTTAGATTTAGCGTTCACTGACAGAGCTACAGCACCAAAAACAGTACACAGAGCAGGAAGTAAATCGGAAATGAGTCAGTACGCTTACCGTAGCACGTCACGGAATGACAGGAGTCCACCTTCCACCTGTGATCAATATCTGTATCTGCTGTGGTTGAAAAGTCTCCTGAGATAACGTCTGTTATGAATAGGTGCTATACAAATAAAACTGAACTGAATTGAATTTAAACGGTAAATGGATGGAGTTCCTCTATAGTCTTCTGACCTCTCATAAAGCTTTTTACACTGAGGTCACATTCACTCATTCCTATGCTGATTCACAAAATCAGGAGCAATTTGGGATTCAGTGTCTTTATTATTTATAACTCATTACTTACTTTACTTCCTGTCAACAGTAATCAGTGACCCTACTAGTTATACTACCCATAAAATTCAGACTGACGACGATTAAAATCTAGATTTGTTTGTTAAAGTAATGGAATATTTCCAGTTGTTGAATGTCTCCGTCTTCCAAACTAGTTTCCTCCATGATTACAAAAATGAATCCAAGGATGTGATTGGACTGTTGGATTTCAGATATTTCAGTGGGAGGAGATAACACAAGTAATATTGTAACAAATAGTTTTTATAAGGGGGGTAATTATCAGTAATTAGTTACACTAGTACTTACTGTAGAAAGTAATATTATTTGTCTATTTGTCTGTCTTTTACTAACATCATACAACATCATGAAATGCAGAAATATTCTTTAAACAGACTTTAAGAACAAATAAACAAATACATGAATAAAAAAAGTATCTGTATATATGTAGAATGTGTTATAACTTGTGTTGCTGTTGATTCCTCAGAAGCAAATTTTTCATTTGAAACATTTGGATTCAATCAGTTAGATTAACTGATTGTTTGTTGGTTTTATAGTTCTGATGTCTCTCTTTGATTAAATATTAAAATAGCAGATAAATAGCAGAAAGAAAACCTTCAGTTCAATTTGTTTCTACAGATTGTAACCTAACAGATATTTCATGTGTCCCAAACTCTTCAAAACAGTGAAATAAAAGAGTGTCAATAAAAGACAAACACTGTGAGTCTGTGTGAATAAGAATAGAAAGTGTCACAGTTCTGATGTTTATGGTGTGAATGCAGTGGTTTTGTTTTGTCTTCAGGTTTTTGTTCCAGAAAGCGTAGTGGAGCGCTTTCAACAGAGGCCTGAAGGAGACACACAGCTGCTGTCTGTTCTCTTTGTCTGTAGTTTCTAAGAGAAATGCCGAACACAGAGCGTCTCTTTATGACATGCTGCTGGCTCAGGCTGTTTGCACAAAAGGCTTCAGCTGCTCAGGTGCTATAAAGAGCAGCAGCTGCCGCACAGGTAACACACAGCAACCGGCAACATCAGCAGCAGCAACAGCAGCAGCAGCAGCAGCAACCAGCTGAGCAACCACAGAGGCAACATGACATCCAGCAGCATGAACATGATGGGCAGGGTGAGAAACATTAACTTCAGTTGTTAGTTAATGACTCAATAATTCACATATTATAAACAACTTTACATTCCAGACACAAGCAGGCATTTTTCCAAGCACTACAACATGGTTCCCCACCTTTTCCCTTAAGGGTTTATTTTTACTTAGTTTTAGTGTAATTTCTGTGAACTATAATAACCTTGGTTTTGTATTGAGCTAACTAAAAACGAAACACTAGTTATTTATAATCGACTCTACACTTCAACTAATTTATACTATTCTTGCATTTAACTCGCACATATAAATATAGATCCATTTCTCAGCATTATGTATTTACATTGTCGTTATATATTACATATTTATATGTATTTTCTATTTTTCTATATGTAGTGGTATATATTATTGTATAAATTGTAGTGTGTATTGTTGTATAATGTATATTTGTGAGTTTTAGTTGTTTGACAGGAAGGTTCCTCTGCCCTTAGGTGGTCTTCTATGAGGACAGAAACTTCCAGGGTCGTTCCTATGAGTGCAGCAGCGACTGTGCCGACATGTCATCCTACCTGAGCAGGTGTCACTCCTGCAGGGTGGAGAGAGGCTGCTTCATGGTCTACGACCGCACCAACTTCATGGGCAACCAGTACTTCCTGAGGAGGGGCGAGTATGCTGACTACATGAGCATGATGGGAATGAGCGACTGCATCAGGTCCTGCCGCATGATCCCCATGGTAACCACACAGCCAATCACAGCACTGGCATCAGTATGAGCTGACTAATCACAGGAGAAGAGTTGAGGTGCTGATTGATGATTAATGATTGATTATTGTTATGTTGCAGCACCGTGGCTCCTACAGGATGAGGATCTATGAGAGGGAGAACTTTGGAGGCATGATGCACGAACTGATGGATGACTGCGACAACATCATGGACCGCTACCGCATGTCCAACTGCATGTCATGTAATGTGATGGACGGACACTGGCTGATGTACGAGCAGCCCAACTACAGAGGCAGGATGATGTACATGAGGCCTGGAGAGTACAGGAACTTCATGAACATGGGCATGAGCAACATGAGGTTTATGAGCATGAGACGCATCATGGACTCTTACTATTAGAGTTACCATGAAAACAATCAGAATATATCAATAAAGTTATGTTTGAATCAACATTTACGGCCTGCTATGTTCAATAAACATTGAACCCAATTAAATACTCACATAATCACATTACATATACAGACATCACAACAGTGTAGCAACAGGGTTAATTGATGGTTAAAAAATCAAAACCTTTAATTTTACAATCAGATCCTGATTTAAAAATCATACATATACATTAGTTGTATGCTTTACAAAAGTTTATACTAAAAAAAATTATTTCTACATAAAAAAAACATACCTTTCAAATAGAAATAAATTTCCCTGAATATTTTATTATCCATCATTAACAATATATTACATCCATCTGAGCGCAAAGATTCTTCTTTTTCACTCAAACACAGTCAGCAACTTCTGTGACTACAGATAAATCCAACACTGAAATAACAAAACCTGAGGTTCTCACAAAAGTGAGTCAATCTCCATAAGGCCCAATATTAAAATGCCAAACGTTATTCAATTTTTCAATTCAATTTTATTTGTATAGCGCCAATTCATAACAGAAGTTATCTCAGGACACTTTTCAAATAGAGCAGGTCAAGACCGAACTCTTTAAAACATTAATTACAGAGACCCTACAGTACCACCATGAGCAAGCACTTGGCGACAAGGGCAAGGAAAAACTGCCTGTTAAAAGGCAGAAACCTAGGACAGATCCTTCGGCTCTAGGTGGGTGGTCGTCTGTCTCGACCAGTTGGGGTGAGAGAGAGAGAGAGAGAGAGAGACAGACAGACAGGTGCACAGCAACAACAGTATTGGCAATGGCAATCTAGCAGGACCATGGCAGGAGGCTCCACCAGGATCGATAAGAACCTGTGAGACGAGAAAGCACAAGAACTCCGGGGAAGAAGTGAAGTTAGTAACATGCATTAATGGAACATGAATGAGTGCAGAAAGAGAGAGGAAGGGAGGAGCTCAGTGCACCATGGGAAATCCCCCGATAGTTTAGGCCTATAGCAGCATAACTCCTGAACCATCCCTTGTTCAGGACTCATCCAGCCCTAACTATAAGCTTTATCAAAGAGGAATGTCTTAAGCCTACTCTTGAATGTGGAGAGGGTGTCTGCCTCCCGAACCACAACTGGAAGCTGGTTCCACAGGAGAGGAGCTTGGTTCTGAAGGCTCTGGCTCCTGTTCTACTTTTAGAGACTATAGGAACCACAAGTAGCCCAGCATTCAGAGAACGTAGTGTTCTAGTGGGGTAATAGGGTACTATGAGCTCTTTAAGATATGAAGGGGCCTGACCATGAAGAGCTTTATAGGTAAGGAGGAGGATTTTAAATTCTATTCTACATTTTACAGGGAGCCAATGCAGAGAAGCTAGTACAGGAGAGATGTGATCTCTTTTTCTAGTTCCTGTCAGTACTCGTGCTGCAGCGTTCTGAATTAATTGGAGCATTTTAATGGACTTATTGGGGCCACCTGATAATAAAGAGTTGCGGTAATCCAGCCTTGAAGTAACAAATGCATGGATTAGTTTTTCTGCATCTGTCTGTGATAGTATGTGTCTAATTTTTCTAATATTACGGAAATGAAAGAAGGCAGTCCTAGAGGTCTGCTTTATGTGGGAGTTAAATGACAAATCCTGATCAAAGATAACTCCAAGATTCCTGACAGTGGTGCTAGAGGCCAAGTTAATGCCATCTAGAGTAACTATATCTTTAGACAGTGAGTCTCTAAGGTTTTTGGGGCCAAGAACAAGAATTTCGTTTTTTTCTGAGTTTAACATCAGAAAATTGCAGGTCATCCAGGATTTTATGTCCTTAAGACATGTTTGTAATTTAGATAACTGATTAATTTCATTGGGCTTGATTGATAGATATAACTGCATATCATCTGCATAACAGTGAAAGTTAATGGAGTGATTCCTAATAATGTTGCCTAAAGGGAGCATATATAGAGTAAATAGTATTGGTCCAAGTACAGAACCTTGTGGAACTCCATGACTAACTGTAGTATTTATTGAAGATTCATCGTTAACATGTACAAACTGCGAGCGATCGGATAAATATGACTTAAACCAGCTTAGTGCGGTTCCTTTAATGCCAATTTAATGTTCAAGTCTCTGCAAAAGAACATCATGGTCAATGGTGTCAAATGCAGCACTAAGATCCAACAATACAAGTACAGAGACAAGTCCATTGTCAGAAACAATCAGAAGGTCATTATTAACTTTAACCAGAGCTGTCTCTATGCTGTGATGAACTCTAAATCCTGACTGAAAATTCTCAAATAAACTATTGTTATGTAGAAAGTCACACAACTCTTTGGCGACTACTTTCTCCAGAATCTTAGAGAAGAAGGGGAGGTTAGAAATCGGTCTATAGTTGGGTAAAACCCCTGGGTCAAGAGTGGGCTTTTTAAGAAGGGGTTTAATTACAGCTACTTTAAAGGACTGTGGTACATATCCTGATAATAAAGAAAGATTAATCATATCCAGTAAAGAAGTGCCAATTAGGGGAACAACTTCTTTAAGCAGCCTAGTTGGGACCGGGTCTAATAGAAATAGATATGTCGGCTGAATGTTGGTTTGTCATCTTACCTGAGCAGGTGTCACTCCTGCAGGGAGGCAGATTCAGGTCCAGTGCTGGCGGCCTGTACTAATGACAACAGGATGTTACCTCTGTGTCAAACATCCTGTCAACCATCAACCTTTGACCACCAGCTTTGTTGCTTCATGATAACAGCTGATTCTTCTTCTCAGGTTCCTGACTGAAACTTCAGATGGATTTTTATAGGGAGTCTCTGCATTGGCTCCCTATAAAATGTAGAATTGAATTTAAAATACTCCTCCTCACCTATAAAGCTCTTCATGGTCAGGCCCCTTCATATCTTAAAGAGCTCATAGTACCCTATTACCCCACTAGAACACTACGTTCTCTGAATGCTGGGCTACTTGTGGTTCCTATAGTCTCTAAAAGTAGAACAGGAGCCAGAGCCTTCAGTTACCAAGCTCCTCTCCTGTGGAACCAGCTTCCAGTTGTGGTTCGGGAGGCAGACACCCTCACCACATTCAAGAGTAGGCTTAAGACATTCCTCTTTGATAAAGCTTATAGTTAGGGCTGGATCAGGTGAGTCCTGAACCATCCCTTAGTTATGCTGCTATAGGCCTAGACTATCGGGGGATTTCCCATGGTGCACTGAGCTACTCTCTTCCTCTCTCTTTCTGCACTCATTCATGTCCCTTTAATGCATGTTACTAACTCCACTTCTTCCCCGGAGTTCTTGTGCTTTCTCGTCTCGCAGGTTCTCATGGATCCTGGTGGAGCCTCCTGCCATGGTCCTGCTTGACTGCCATTGCCAATACTGTTGTTGCTGTGCACCTGTCTGTCTGTCTGTCGCTCTCTCTCTCTCTCTCTCTCTCTCTCTCACCCCAACTGGTCGAGACAGACGACCACCCACCTAGAGCCGGAGGATCTGTCCTAGGTTTCTGCCTTTTAACAGGCAGTTTTTCCTTGCCCTTGTCGCCAAGTGCTTGCTCATGGTGGTACTGTTGGGTCTCTGTAATTAATGTTAAAGAGTTCGGTCTAGACCTGCTCTATTTGAAAAGTGTCCTGAGATAACTTCTGTTATGAATTGGCGCTATACAAATAAAATTGAATTGAAAAAAATTGAATTTAGAAAGAAAATATTAAAAAATATATATTTTTCACCAAATGGATTCTGAGCTTTAAGTGAATAAATAAATATAAAATATCAGTTATTTAAACATACTGTTATACCTTTATTGTGTGATTGTTTTTATTGAGCTTATATTTTATAATATATAATATTTATTTTTTGTCTTCTTCTGTATTTTTTGTGGACCATTATAACTACAATATTACAGATCAGGTCAGTGCAGAGGTCAGTGCTGTAGATACAGGGCAGAAGTCTGTCTATTTGATTCAAATAATAGTAACAATAATCATATTATTAATATTAATTTTATTTCGTTATCTGTTTTGGACAGATTTTGGCTAGTATTTCCAGATGTGGGACTCTTTCAGAAGCTGTGCATTTTCTTTCTAGTTATTCTTTTTCGTCTGTCGTACTTTTTTGGATGATTATAACTCGCACATTTTTGAAGATAGAAACATAATTCAGATTATCTCGTTTAAGCGTGTCATCATGACTTTTTGATATCTGTTAAAGACTGATGTCACTTCCTATTATGGTTATATTTAGTGACAGTGAACAGAAACTCACTTGGACTCGTCTCCATCCACAGTCATTAGCCTTGTTCTGGTTGCCATAGTGACTCCACTCTGCTGTTGCCGTGGTGACGGGGGTGGGCGTGTCTGCAGCATCAGGGGAAGAGATGGGATGACTCTGTTTCCCCTGGCGACCTGCCGATCAAGGCTGCGATTTGTTGGAGTGGAGGGGGCCGGGAATAAGAGGGGCAGTGCTTCACTGAGGAGGTACTTCCGGTTCCTGTCCATCACTGCATGCAGAGGAAGAAGTGGAGGACGGGTGAGAGGGGGGTTTCTGGTCTTTAAAATCCCTGAAAACAAACATCGTTACCATCTGCTAAATTAAGAGGAGTGTCCTAATTGGTCAGAAGGTCCTCACCTCGTCGTCTCATTGGCTGCTGGCTGCTGTCAGGTGAGCTGGGCAGGGCTCCGTCTTCAGCTGCTGATTGGTTGTTGACTTTGTTCTCCACTTGGAGCTTCACCTCCTCCTTTCATCTCCTCCTCCACCTCCTTCTCCTTTACTGTCAGTGACTGTGGGAGGAACCACCAGCCAGTAAGCTGAGAGAATTCAGATACATTTATCATTTATCATTTCATTATTGATTGTTTCATTATTGATCAGTGCTTGCTCGTGGTAAGAACTGTTGGGTCCCTGTAAATAATTTTAGACAGTTTAGACATGCTCTATTTGAAAATGGTCCTGAGATAACTTCTGTTATCAAATAAATACACAATATAGACAAATAAAATTTCATTTAAAATAATTGAATCAGCTCTTTTTTATTTTTTGGAGTAATGGAGTATTTTATTTCACTTTAAATTTATTTTTTTATAATATAAGAATAACAATTAGAATAACAATAAGAAGGGGGATAAGAATAAGAATAATAAGAATACAAATAAAAATAAATATAGCCACAAGCAGCCATTCTGAGGTTCAAACAACACAGATGATTAGACATTTAGTAGCAGTCCAACCTATGGTTCAGGAGGAGACAGCAACAATGTGTTTTTTGGAGAGCACATTGAGCTGGGCCTTTATTACAGCCCCACCATCTGGCCAATTAGGCTCATCTTTGTTGGGAAGCACATGCGCATAATTTCCATTTATTGGGCCAAGTTTAATGTTTCCAAATCATTCCAAGTCACAGGAATCTGAGCCGACACAGCAGATAAATAAATAAAAATGTTTTATCAGCCAACCAATTGTATCAGCTGATATTGATTGTGTTTTGTTATAAGTAGTTATGTTATTATATAGCAGTAAAATAAACAGTCGTCCCAATAGTTTGACTGCTTTGTAGTGTATTCGGATTTCCCTTAGGTGGCAGCATAATAAAGCCTATAAATGGGAAGTGGAGGCAGGAGCGTTTGACCAGGGGAGTATTAGTTTGCCATCAGGGTTTTCTGTCAGAAAGGATTTCATTAGATGGGATTTTGGTCGTATTGATCATCCAACACTTCCATTAGTTAGTTTTGTGGTTGAAGTTTACAGTCAACATTATGAATACCTCCTCCTGCACACTGCAGGCGCAAAACACATCTGACACGGACAGTCAGCTGTGAAACCAGCTCAACTCAGCTGACACTTTGATCAAGTTTTTTGCGTCATCAATTGATTTTCACAACTTTTCGGCGACTAAAAAGCATTAATCCGGATTTCACATTGATGTTTTTACCAGTGTTGGGGGTAACGCGTTATTGTAATCAGATTACATTTGTCTGTAACGCAGTAATGTAACGCATTACTGTTGATAACGTCAGTAATCACATTACAGTTACGAATCAAAAATGATCTTGTTACTTGCACTTCTTTGGGAGGACTGAAAACACAAATCAAACGTCCCTTTATATGCGTGCTTACGCAACGCTCGTTTGACCCTATGGTTTGACTTCACTCACGTCACGTGACATGAAGACGTGACCATAGTGTGGACGTGACTCGAGCAGGAGCAGAAGACGAGCGAAAGACGAAGAACACGAGGAAGGAGAGTAGAGGCGACAGAATGGAAACATTCATCATTTGAGAGGTGGAAATTCGGCCACTACTTTAAACTTGTAAAAAGAAAATAAAAAAATGTTACTGTGAAATGTAAGCTGTGCCCGGGGCAGAAACAGCTATCCACCACTGCCAACACAACATCTATTCAATTCAATTCAATTTTATTTGTATGGCGCCAATTCATAACAGAAGTTACAGCAATGACACAAAAAATGTCACCACGGCGACAGGTCCGACAGCACTCCACATCCCAGAGTCCTGAACGAACAACCAGCAGAACTCTGAGCTCCCAAAACCACCAGGATCCAGACCCAGAGAAAGACCTGAACAAGGAGAAGAAGAGGGAACAAACCATGTTAGCATGTTAGCAAGGCTTAGCAGAAAGACTGGAAGTGGGGGGAAACTGTTAGCATTCACTGTTTACTTTACAAGCTATGAATTCCTGTTGTTCCAGGACGTCTTCTCACCTATGATGAAGGCAGGGAGGCCCCAGCCAATAGCGTTATAGAAGGTCATGTGACGGTGGTTGATGTTGCGGATCTCAGTCATCATGCGGTAGACATGCAGCTCCTCCACCAACATCCAGCAGAATGAACACAAGTGGCAGTAATGCAGCAAGATGGCCCCCAGCCTGCACACAGACTGGTTCTGTATTCGGTCAATGGCAAGCAGGAAGAAGATCTGCGACAGGAAGACCGAGGTCACCTGGTTGAAATGGATATTGTGCAGGTTGGAGCGCAGGTCTGTGAGGACCAGGAGGAAGACAAAGGTGACGAGGAGGAGCAGCAGCGAGGAGGAGAGAGAGGTGAAAGTGACGAGCCTCAAAGGAAGAACATCCTCACGCTGACGATAAAAACACAGTGTGTAAACTTTATTTACACTTCAAACAGGTTAACTTTATTCAGCTTACTGTGCCAGGTGGACGTGGCCCTACCTCTCTCCTGGACACATCCACGGCAACGCTGGACGGCTGAACACAGCCACAGATGACGTGAGTTTGATTCCTGCTGATCAGATGACAACCTGTGGAAGACCAACTGCCGGTCCTGTTCACCCTGAAACACCAGAGAAACTGTCAGCCTTGCACAAACCTCACCGACAGACCACAATATGTCAGATGTGGTAACGAGCAGCACTGGCACACCGCAAGGAACTGTACTGTCACCGTTTCTGTTAACCCTCTACACCTCTGACTTCTGTTCCAACTGCAGAGCGTACCACCTACAGAAGTTCTCTGATGACTCCTCCATTGTCGGCTGTATCACAGATGATAGGGAGCAAGAGTACAGAGACCTGATACAGAACTTCACTAGATGGTGCAACAGAAAACACCCACAGCTCAACACAGGGAAAACCAAAGAGTTGGTGGTGGACTTCCGCCACAGCATAAGGCCCCTCCTCCCCAGTTGCTATTAGGGGGGAGAGGGTAGAGATGGTGGACACCTATAAGTTCCTGGGGGTGACACTTACAATAAACTGGACTGGACAGACACTGAGATCCTCTACAGGAAAGGACAGAGCAGACTGTTCTTTCTGAGGAGGGTCAGGTCCTTCGACGTGTGTACTCGGCTACTACGGATGTTCTACCAGTCTGTAGTGGCCAGTGTCATCTTCTGTGCTGTGGTGTGCTGGGGAGGAGGCATCAGGACTTATGTTGCCAGCTCGGTGGGGATAGATCTGGACAGACTGTGCCTGAGAAGAGGATGAGAGGGAAGCTGAAAGCCGTCATGTGTCATTGTTTGTACCATTAACCATCACTCCACAATGCCACAGCTCCCAGTACCTCCAACATCAGCAACCACAGCACCCAGTACCTCCAACCCCCATATCCACAGCTCTCAGTATCTCCAACCTCAGCACCCACAGCACCCAGTACCTCCAACCTCCACAACCACAGCTCCCAGTACCTCCAAAGCTCCCAGTACCTCCAACCTTCACAACCACAGCAGCAAGTACCTACAACCTCCATAACCACAGCACCCAGCACCTCCAACCTCCACAACCACAGTACCCAGCACCTTCAACCTCCACAACCACAGCACCCAGCACCTCCAACCCCTACTGACTAAGACTGGTTTTAGTTCAACCTAACTTATATTATTTGTCTTAAGTTGCACGTGAACAGTTTTGTTGTTAAGTCAAGCTGCTTAAAATATTTTAAACACAATTGTACTGCAGATTATATATAGTGTATATATTTTTCATTTATAGTTTTATATGTTCTATTATATTTTGTAATATTCTTATTTGTCATACTATTGTATGTACACTGTACTGTTTTTATTGCACTATATTTCCCAATGCTGCTGTGTGTAATTTGAATTTGTCCTACGGGGGATTAATGAAAGGTATATCTTATGCTATGTTATGTTATGTTATGTTATCTTATCTTAAAGACTGGAAAAAGAAGTGAACTGTTAGCTTAGCACAAAGACAGGAAACAGAGGAAGACTGTTAGCATGGATTAGCTCACCCTGCTGAGTGACTCCAGACAACGCATCGCGGCCTCACTCGTCCCTCTCTCTTCAGTAGGAGCTGCAGAGTGACAGGACGGTCCAGAGGGCGGGGCCGAGAAACACCTTCACTGTACATCACCGTGGTGACAACAGGTGTGTTGATGATGGACTGACTCAGCGCTCTGAACATGCACACATAGGGTCAGACAATAAACACAATAAACAAACTATGTGTCAACAGTTGTTGTCGCCGTTGCTTTTGTTGCCGCTTTCTTTGTCAATGTCATCATTGTTGTCAGTTTTGTTTTGTTTTTGTTGTCATTATTATTTGATTTTATGATTATGATTGTAGATGATCACCACGGCAACCAGCAGTGAGCTCGAGGCCTCAGTGTGAAGTTTCCTTTTGACAGGCGACACAGTCTGATTGACATCACTGGTGACATTACTTGTGACATTACTTGTGACATCAGCAGGCTGTTGAGTTGGTGTCTCCATGGAAACTGCAGATCAGAACAAAGGGTTGCTGTTTGACTGTTTATGGTGCAATAAAATGTTTGATTCCCAGCGACTCTGATACCTGCAGCAGGTGTAATGTCATCATGTGAAAGGAATTGTGGGAAGTTGACGGCAGCCTGGAGGTCGATAGGAAGTTCAGTCTGGATGTCAGAGAGGCGGAGCTTCATCCTGCTGCTGTCCAGGAAGTCAACTGAGAAAATTGAACACAGAGGACAGTTACTGGGAAATAATAATAATAATAATAATAAACTCACTGATGTTTGTATTTGTGAATTGTTTGTAAACTCACCAATGTTTGACGTGAGGATGATGAAGGGCTTCAGGTAGGTCTTCTTCGTGTTCTTGGCGAGGTTTTGGCCATAAAGCTCAAAGCTCCTCAGCAGATGTGAAGCTCCGCCCTCTGACCTTTGAACCTGCTGCTGCAGCTGGCTGCCACGCTCCAACAGGGCACTTCCAGTCTGAACAATATTCTACACAGCAGGTAATCAATAATCAATATGGACGATGTTTAATACAAACTGTGAAGTAAAAGTTGTTATAATAATTGTATGAAAGCCAGTTAAAGGATTGCTTGATTGATTGATTGATTGATTGTAACCTGGTGGAAGTGGCGGTCCTGCGTGGCAGCCATGTTGAAGCCGTGTTGTTGGCTCTCGTACTGCAGCAGCTGACTCAGCAGACTGAACGCCAACTGCAGGTCGCTCCCGTGAACAACCGCCTTTTGACTGGTCCTGCAGCATTGCAGCAATCCTGAGATCAAAGGTCAGAACTGAAGCTTTCTATTGGACAGAAAACTAAACTAAACTAAATCACATCCAATCTGAAGGCAATAAACACAAATTCATGTGAAATCTGCCCCATTAGCAACTTAGTAATTGTGAGGATGTCATTGTGTCGTATGTCGAGGTGTTTGCAGTCGGGGTGGAAGAGGGAGAGACAGAGCTGCTACTGCCCACAGACAGCTGCTGGAGCCCGGGGAGCTCTGCAGGAGAGAGCCGAAGCTTCTGGAGGAATAAACAGCCGAAGCGTGCTGGATTCTGCTCTGATCTGGAGACGATTACACTGTTTATCTTTTAAACTTCTGAGATTAAAAAGTGGATTTATCCTCACTCTCTGTTCTCAACCTGTCTACTGTGAGCCACAGATGTGACAGTACAATTTAGTGCAGTATTATAGAGTATAAAACAGTGGGTAACACTTTATAATGAGTACACACTATTAAGCATTAGTTAAGCATGAATAAATAATGAAATCATCATTTATAATGCATGAATACACATTAGTATGTAGTTTATATGTGACAAGTTGTATATAACAATTTATTCATACATACAATTTATTTTGAGTTAAAACACAATTCATCTGAAAAGCTCATTTCAGTTTGATATTATCACAGTTATTATAGTATCTATTTTAAAAGATGTAATTTCATTTATGGTAGTTGTGAATGTATATGAAGAATATGCAACGAGTGAGTAACACCAAGAAGAGGAATGCAGATAGGTAATACAAATCTTTATCTGTGTGGTTTAATGGTTCGTCGATCTGTTGGTAATGCCTCGGGGCTCCAGTAGGGGGATCGCGCTCCTCTTCCTCATTCAATACAGACGAGTGAAGGAAAGAGCTGCGTGTGTGTTTTCCTCATCCTTCTCCCGTTACTATTCCCCTTTTTAAGGTAATTACCATTTGCAAAGCACTGTATACTTATGAACACATGTCGATAGCATTTTTCTTTATGTTACTCTGTTACTGTAAATGCATGGAAAAGACGTTTTGTTAGACTTATTTGTTGTTTAGTTTCTTGCTAATTCAGACGTGTAAGCTAGCAGTCGGATACCTCGTGGCCACGCCGTAGAGTCTGAATGTTGACATTGGTGTTTAAGTGTGTTACTGTTTCATTTATATATTTATATATTTGTGTCTAGTTCATGTCATAATGACGAGAATTGATGAGTCAACATGTTAAAAAATACATTTCATTATTCAAAAGTTCCATGATAATTTAACTTGTTAAAAACATAATTTACATGTCGTGTGTATTTGATTAAAACAATAATTTAGATAATTTAGAACATGTTAAAAAGACACATATGATATTTGTGGTCCTAAAACTGAGTGTGCATATGTATACATTTGTCTGTTGTTCGTATGCATTGTTTAAAATAAGATTCAATACAGACGAGTGAAGGAAAGAGCTGCGTGTGTGTTTTCCTCATCCTTCTCCCGTTACTATTCCCCTTTTTAAGGGTACAACATTTGGAGGCACCGCTGGGATGTTTGGCTTGAGGACCATCCCTGAGATCTAAGTGGAATCCTCGCGTCCATCATCCCTTAAAACAACCCAGGCATCAGAGAGAAGAGTCGGACAAGGCGGTCAAGGTGGTCTTCAGACATGTACTGGCAACTTGTATCCTGAAGTGAGCAAAAGTGACCACTAGGGAGCAGCAAAAAACCAATTAAGTCAGATAGACCTTTACTTTACTGCTTGTGCCAACTCTTCTGATAAAATGGAGTCTGAATTGGAGAAGCTGCAACTGGAGATTAAAGGAACATTGTACCAACTGACTGTCAAACAGCTGATTAAAGTATGCGACACACTTCAGATTTTGGGACCAGGAATAGAACACGTGGCTGGTAAAACTCGCAGTCAGTTAATTTCTCATGTAATAGAGTATCTTGAGCGGGAAGAACTGGCCGACCTGGAGGATGAGGGTATGTCAGACCTCCTTAATGTTCAGGACATAATATACAAAGTCCATATGACAACAAACCTAAGTGAATGTGAAATCCTAAGTCAAACTGATGAACAGGAAAACCTTCAGAAAGAGGTAGAGGCGCTGAGGCTGTCACTGAAAGAAAAAGAGGATGCAATGCATGGCTTAATGAAATCAAGTACGAACACCCCTGTCAGTCCCAGCAAAACAGCAAAGAATATGGCCCCAGCACCGTCTAATGGTTCCATGTGGCGCAAAGATTTTAAGATATCTGGCCAGATAGGTGAGCCAGGGCAAAAGGATAGGCTAACCTTTTCTAGTTTAGCCCGACAAATTGAAAGTGGGCTCAGCAAAGACTATCCAGAGTCAGAGATCATTGATGCTGTAATCCACGCCATCACACCAGGTCTGCAATTGCGAAGTTACCTTGAAGGGAAAGACAAACTTACCCTGCCTGCCCTTCGCAGAATTCTCAGATCTCATTACCAGGAGAAAGCTGCCACAGAGTTATATAAACAACTCACCTCTGAGGTTCAAAACAGTAAGGAGACCCCTCAGAATTTCCTGATAAGAGCAATGGACCTGAGACAGAAGATCCTGTTTGCTTCTCAGGAAGCTGACTCAAGTCTAAAATATGACCCAGCACTAGTCCAGAGTCTATTCATGCACACTGTTCTAACTGGCCTTCAGAGTGACAATATTAAGAGTGACCTGCAGCCTTACCTCCTCCAAACGAGCACTTCAGATGAGCTGCTGCTGGAGAAACTGAACATTGCATGCAGCAACGAAAAAGAGAGGCAGGACAAAAAGAAACATGCTGCTCCATCACGTGTAACTACTGTGAATACAGTTCAGTCAAGCGAACCTCCAGTGGAAAAGAAAAGCACCATCCCACAACGCACAGCTACACTTCCTCCAGATCTGCTTTCTGAGATAAAAGAAATGCGCTCTGACATGGTGCTGTTGAAGGACTTGAGAGCTGAGGTCTCCCAGATCAGGGAAACCATCCAAAGATCCACACCTGCACCCCCACAATATCCCCAACCAAACAGAGAACCAGCAAATATGCCTGCCCCATATCCAGTGTTCTTCCCCCCACAGCCCCCACATTGTAACAATGAATCAGATCCCATGCCCTTTTACCAACAGCAGTCACCAACAGCAGTGCAGGAGTACCGACCAGTATTTGGTCCTGGGCGAATGAGGGAGACAACTCAGTTTCAGCAAAGGTTTGCACCTCAGCGGTTCTACCCAGCACCACGCTCTCGCCCAAGGTGTTTCTCTTGTATGCAAGCAGGTGAAGAGTACTGTCAGCATTGCTTTAAGTGTGGAAGCAGTGAACACTTCAGAGCAGGTTGTAAAGCACAGAGATCAGTAGAGCCAGCTAGGAAGAGTCCTTTAAACTAAGAGGGGTTGCTCCCACGGGACATGGAGTAACCAGTAACATAGATAAGTCCCAAGTTTGCACAAGTTGTGAAGAAGAAAAAGGAAGTGAGGAACTAAAATGTTGTTCAGTTTGTAAAACCACACTGTACTGCTCAAAAGAGTGCCAGAGAACCCATTGGCCAGCACACAAAAGACACTGTAAGCCTTCTGCATGTTCAAGTATTAAGAAAAAGGCAACTCAGTCATGTGAGAAAGTTAAATGCAAAGAAAGTAGTGCTCCAGAGAAAACACCTACTGTAAGAGAGCTAGTAGGGAAGAAGTGTGTAATCAGGTGTTTCCTGCACAAACAAAAGATTCAGGCACTTTGGGACACAGGTTCACAGGTTTGTGCTATAGACGAACAATGGAAAAGAAGCCATTTACCTGATGTGCCACTCAGAGATGTAGCAGAGCTAGTCGACCCACTTGATCCGTTACAAATTGAAGCAGCCAATGGGACAGAAATGCCATACATCGGCTGGCTTGAAGTGTCCTTTAAGCTCACCGCTAGTGATCATGAGTTGCTAATACCCATGCTAGTGCTAAGAGGCAACCAACAACAGTGTCCCATTATTGGCTTTAATGTTATTGAACGCCTTGTCCTAGATAGCATGCAAGATCAGACAAAGCAAGGAGACAAAGAGAAACTCGTGAAGGCTGTAAAAATGGCTTTTCCTCATCTCAGGAAGAACAAAGCAAAAACCTTTATTAATGCAGTGAGTGTAGGGCAAGAATGTGATCATAATGTAAGGACAGTAAATGAGAGAATCAGTGTGCCTAAACAGAGCTCCATCCAAATTGAGTGTCGAGTACAGGCTGCACCTTTCAAAGAGGATAAGACTCTTATTTTCGAACCTTATGAGAATCCACAGTGGCCTGAAGGACTGGACTTTTGTGATACCCTTGTGTCAGTGAAGGCAGGCATGACCCCAAAAATCATTGTTAGTGTGCAAAACCCTACAGGTCATGACATTACGCTGCCCGGAAGGACTGTTATTGGAACTGTACAGTCAGTGAGGTCAGTGTATCCTGCCAACATATTTAAAACAGATCATCTAACAACTGCATCCATTCATCATGTCCAGGCCCAGAGTTCCAGTGAAAGCATCCCTGCACATGAACCTTGGGATCCTCCTGTGGATTTGACTCACCTGGAAGAACATCAGAGACAAATAGTCCGTCAGATGTCAGAGTCATTTTCTAAGTCTGATAATGACATAGGCTGTGTGGAAAACCTACAAATGGACATTTCACTAAAAGATGTTGAGCCAGTGTCAAAAGCATATCTCTCTGTTCCAAAGCCTTTGTACAAAGAGATGAAAGACTACTTACGGGACTTGATAGCGCAAGGGTGGGTTGAAAAATCTACCTCTTCCTACTCCTCCCCAGTTGTCTGTGTAAGAAAAAAAGACGGTACGCTGCGCTTATGTATTGACTACAGGGAGCTCAATAGGAAAACTCACCCAGACCGCCACCCCATCCCCAGAGTACAGGACATTATGGACACTCTGGGGGGAAACACCCTCTTTTCACTGCTGGACCAGGGTAAGGCATATCACCAGGGGTTCATGTCAAAGGACAGTAGACACTTAACAGCTTTTGTGACCCCCTGGGGCCTGTATGAGTGGGTCCGAATCCCATTTGGGCTCATGAATGCACCTGCAGCATTCCAGCGCTGCATGGAACAGTGCTTAGAGGGCTTAAGGGATGAAATATGTGTGCCTTATCTCGATGACGTTCTTGTGTTTAGCAAAACCTTTGAGGATCATGTCAGTGATGTCAGAAGGGTGCTGCGACGACTGAGGGGACATGGGATAAAACTGAAACCCAAGAAATGTGACCTGTTTAAGGCGGAAGTACGGTACCTTGGGAGGATTGTGTCTGCTGAGGGAAACAGGATGGACTCTGCTGATACTGCTGCAGTAAGGGCTCTGAAAGACAAGCAGCCAGGTACTGTTGGTGAACTAAGAGCAATATTAGGACTGTTGAGTTATTACCGGCAGTACATCAAGGATTTTTCACGTATTGCCTGCCCCTTGTATGACCTCTAAAAACCTTCAGAGACTGAGACCTTGCAAAACAAAAAGAGGAAGTGGCAAACAAAACGGAACAGCAAAGGAATGCCATCCAACACACCCATTGAGTGGACTGATGCACACCAGTCAATACTGGAGCAGTTGATAGACTGTCTCATTCAGCCTCCTGTTCTAGGCTTCCCAGAGTTTTCACAGCCCTTTATCCTCCATACTGACGCTTCCAACCAAGGACTAGGTGCAGTTTTGTACCAAAGGCAGAATGGGAAGCTTCGTGTAATTGCTTATGGCTCCCGTACTTTAACTGCAGCAGAGAAAAATTACCATCTACATTCAGGCAAGTTAGAGTTCTTAGCTCTTAAGTGGGCAATCACAGAGAAATTTCGTGATTATCTATACTATGCACCATTCTTCACCGTCTACAGTGACAATAATCCACTTACCTATGTGCTGTCCACTGCTAAACTGAATGCAACAGGGTGCCGATGGGTAGCAGAACTAGCAGATTTCCATTTCACGATCAAATACCGCCCCTGGTAAAGAAAATATTGACGCAGACAGTCTGTCCAGAATGCCTTTGGATATAGAGACATTCATGAAAGAGTGTTCAGAGGAAATGGCATATGATGTGATTGGTGCAGCTACACAGGCAGTGGAAAATCAGGATGAATCCAACGTGTCTTGGTCCATGGGCGTTTCAGTTGAATGTGCGGCAGTTGCTACAGGCACATCCCTCATTCCACTCACAACAGGACAAATTAAACACGACCAGAGGAATGATCCCACTGTTGGATCGGTGGTTCAGTTCAGACTGGCTGACAAAAAGCCATCAGGTCAAGAACTAAAACAACTCAGTCCACAGATCACATGTCTTCTCAGACAGTGGGACAAACTGGAAATTAATGAAAGTGGAGTGTTGTACAGGAAAACTGCAAACAGAAAACAATTGGTGCTTCCTGAAAAATATAAAAGTACAGTGTTAAAGGAACTTCACGATGAGATGGGCCATCAAGGTGTTGACAGGACAACATCACTGATACGAGACCGATTTTACTGGCCCTACATGCAGCGAGAGATAGAGGAATATGTCGCAAGAAGATGTGTGTGCCTAAAACAGAAGAAGCCAAGTCATGAGACAAGAGCACCGCTGACGAGCATTGTCACCACTCAACCGTTTGAGCTTGTCTCAGTGGATTTCTTGCACCTTGATAAATGTAAAGGTGGTTATGAATATATTCTTGTAATAATTGACCATTTTACACGTTTTGCACAAGCTTACGCCACAACTTCCAAATCAGGCAAAACAGCGGCAGACAAAATATTTAATGACTATGCATTGAAATTTGGCTTCCCAACAAGGATACACCACGATCAGGGTGGTGAATTTGAAAATCAACTGTTCACACAACTAAAAAAGTACTGTGGAGTTGCTGGGTCGAGAACTACTCCCTACCACCCTCAAGGGAACGGACAGGTAGAGCGGTTTAACCGAACACTACTCCAGATGTTGAAGACCCTCACAGAGAGACAAAAGACTAACTGGAAAGACTCACTAAACAAACTGATGTACGCATACAATTGTACTCGCAGTGAAGTGACTCAAATTCCCCTTTTTAAGGGTACAACATATAAACACAGTTAAAAATGTTTTATTCATCATTGATAAGCACATTAGTTGTGGAGTAGTAAATCCTGAATTCATCATTTATAAAGCATGTTTCTGCTGTAAATAGCCATTACTATGCGGTTTATAATCACAGTTATACACATTTCTGCATGCACTTGCACATTAGTGACTGTGTTAGCAGATGTTCTATAAAAACTCACAACAAATTCATATTCTAATGATGGCCTATAAACAGTTATTAATGTAGGAATTCATGAATTGAGGCAGTTACAAAGCACTTACTACTCGTTAATTAAGTATTTTGCACAAGCTCATCTAAAGTGAGCACTATCTATGTCTTATTAAGCATTTACAAATGAGATATAAAGGCTGGCAATGCCAGTATGTCTGCTAACACAGTCAGTAATCATTAATACATGTCTGAATAGTGGATGTGCAAGTGCATGCAGAAATGTACAGTACAATGAAGAGTAAAACATTTATAACTGTGATTATAAACCACATAGTAATGACAATTTACAGCAGAAAGCTTTATAAATGATGAATTCAGTATTTACTAATCCATAACTAATGTGCTTATCAATGATGAATAAAACATTTTTAACTGTGTTTATAAACTACATACTAATGTGTATTCATGCGTTATAAATGATGATTTCATTATTTATTCATGCTTAACTAATGCTTAATAGTGTGTACTCATTATAAAGTGTTACCAAACAGTGCAGTGCAGTACAGTGTAGTACAGGATTATACAGTATAATACAGTGCAGTGCAGTGTAGTACAGTGCAGTATAATACAGTACAGTGCAGTATTATACAGTATAATACAGTACAGTGCAGTGTAGTACAGTGTAGTATTATACAGTATGATACAATACAGTGCAGTTTAATACAGTGCAGTGCAGTGTAGTACAGTGTAGTATTATACAGTATAATACAGTACAGTGCAGTGTAGTACAGTACAGTATAATACAGTACAGTGCAGTGTACTACAGTGCAGTATTATACAGTATAATACAGTACAGTGCAGTGTAGTACAGTACAGTATAATACAGTGCAGTACAGTGTAGTACAGTGCAGTATTATACAGTATAATACAGAACAGTGCAGTGTAGTACAGTATTATACAGTATAATACAGTGCAGTGCAGTGCAGTACAGTGTAGTACAGTGCAGTATTATACAGTATAATACAGAACAGTGCAGTGTAGTACAATATTATACAGTATAATGCAGTGCAGTGCAGTGTAGTACCTGGGAGTGCAGGTGTCTGAAGCTCACTGAGGTGCAGTTCAAGAGGAGGGGGCGGAGCCAGCCTTGTTGCTCGTCACAGTGACGTATAGCCGTACCTGAGGATAGGGCTGAGTCAGAGAGATGACGGAGCTTCTGATTGGTCTGTTTGAACACTTTAGGAACAGGACAACACAGCAGAACACTTTATGTTACCTGTGGAGCCTCAGGGACATCTCACAGCTGCAGGTTGATTAAACTGAGTCCTTGGCCACCAGAGTCCAGATTCAAACACCCTCGGACAGACATCATACACCACTGCAACATATGGGGAGGGGCCTGGTGAGCAGGTCGGAAAGGAGGCAGGAAGAGAAAAAGATAATGCAGATTGATCAACATACCCTCACAGCCTCTGGATGTGAGCTCAGCATACGGGTTGTCACAGGTGTTGCACTGACGTCCAGTCACACCTGTCCTACAGAGACACTGACCGGTATGAGAGTCACAGACCCGAGACTCAGAGTCCAGCTGGAAACAGTTGCAGGGGAGGCAGGAGTCTCCGCCCTCCTCCCTGTAGTGTATAAGTACATACCTATACCTAACATATATATGCAGGTGTCTGAAGCTCACTGAGGTGCAGTTGAAGAGGTGGGGGCGGAGCCAGCCTTGTTGCTCGTCACAGTATATATATGTATATGTATATGTATATATGTATATTTCTGTGTTTAAGTACCTTACAGCTGCACTCTCCTGTAATTTTGTTACAGTCTCTGTTGAATCCTTTAGAAGTATCACAGTTACAAGGACCACAGACTGGACCCCCCCACCAGCCCCGAGGACACGGGGCTGGATCTGAAATCCACAGAAAACAATTAAAACAACTGATCAATACTGACATTGATCATATATCCAGGTCACACACCTGATGATCTCATATGGTCATATGTCTGTATGATCTGCCTACCTGTACTGTCTCCATAGTAACCATCTGACCTACCTGTGCTGACAGTAGTCTCCATAGTAACCGTCTCCACAGTGACAGCAGTAAACGCGGCGGGAGTTCGGCTGGTGGACACAGGTGGAGTTGTGCTGACAGGGGTTTAAGAGACAAACATCCACACAGTTCCTCCCAAAGAATCCTGGGGGAAAAAAAGGACTTACTTGACACAGATCAAGTACTTCATCAATCAATCAATATGTTCACCTATAAGCAGGCTGGTAATAATCACCTGGTTGGCAGGTGCAGGTGTGATGTTCCCAGTGGTCTTTGCAGTGACTGTGCGGCGGTCAGACACTATTGCTGCAGGAGTCGATGACGTCACATTCGTTCCCCACACCAACCATCCGAACCCCCCACAGGTTATTATTTGCCAGCTTCATGGACGTCTCGCCCATCCTCACACCCTGAGGATGTATTGACCAGTGATCAGATCTAATTCTAAGTTTATTCTTTTTAAATGTGAAACGAGTCGAGAATTCCAAAAAGCTCATTGGGTTCATGAAGTTCAACTTCCTGTACTTCAGTATTTACTGCGATGAAACAAGCAGAGAAGGAAGTAACGAAGTACAAATACTACACATTAGAACCTGTACTTTTACACTTTTATCTGAGTAAAGGATGTGTGTAATTTTGCCTCCTCTGGAAACAGGTAAGGGTCTCACCTGGATACAGCCTCTCCATCCGTTCACCACCAAGCCGTTCTTCTTCATCAGTCCTCCAACAAACAGACTTTTAAGTCTGTTTGTCTGTTTCTGTAAACTGTGATGACGTCATCGGGAATCCTTTAATTTATCTTTAATTCAACAGCAAACAGAACAATCTGTGTGGTCTTACACTGATTTTTTATCCACAGGGAACCTGTCTGGAGCCACTACTCATTTGAGTATTTTAGTGTAACAACAAACCATATAGAAAGGGTTTATAATGAGGAGCCAGAGTCTGTACAGTAGTGAATGGATTAGCCATAAGGGGGAGATAGAGAGGGACTGGGTTCACTGTTGGAGAGCTGTCATGTCATCCACCTTTATACATTTTGATGGTTGTAACTAATTGCTTTATTAATAGTTAATAAATAATTTAATAATGCTTTTTAGATTAGTTAAAAACCATTAATAAGAACTTTTGGTTATTAAGTTGCCATTTACTC